CCCTCTTATATATACCAGCGTACCCCATTTCTAGTAAGAACTTGAACATTCGACAAAGTACATGATAGTTCTAGAAACGTTGCGTCATAGTAGTCACGTGACTCGCTGACGCAACAATATTCAATTTCAGCATCACAGTTTTATCATACATCTTCACTGTATACTATTGTAATTTACACTAATAACAATATATTTAGATTTGAAAGCGTTTAAATACTAGCATATTTGCAACAGTATATACGATAGTATAAGACAGTATAGAAGGGGTAATATTTAAAACAAATACTTAACGTTCGTGCATGTTTGATGCAGATTAATACATAACAGTTTTCAAACCTTAAAATAAAACGACCATAAAGCGTGAAATAAGAAACATTTGGAAAATGGACACTTCCTACAATTTGAATTTATTGGGTCTGCATGTATAATATTTTATACACAAGTACCTTTGAAAGTAATGTTGTTTGTGTATTTTTTGTTAAGCGCAAAGCTATACATTGAGCTCTCTGTACTGTACCAACCACTGGGGGCCTTTGAAAGTAATTGTTTGTTTGTTTGTGGAATTTTGGCGTTTAGCTATCCGCTAGTCGTATTTAATTTTGAAGTGATAGACTATAGGGAAGGCAGCTAGTCGACACCATCCATCGCCAACTCTTGGGTTACTCTTTATCAATTAATAGTGGGATTGACCGTACATATTAATGCCTCCACAGCTGAATCGCGACCAGCAGATTGCGAGTTGAGCGCCCTAACCATCAGGTCATGCCATACCTCTTTGAAAGCAAAATATATTCGCTGTGATAAGATTATGATTAGAACCACCAGATGACGCTATTATTGTTGTTTTTATAACAAAGCTACACATTGAGTTATCTATGCTCTGTCCAGCGCGGGTAATCGAACCCCAGATTTTAGCGTTAAAAGTCTATAAATTTACCATTGATCCAACGGAAGACGACGGTGATGCATACAAATATTAGCTATTTCGTATTTCTCTATTTGAGGTTGTTTAGTATACAAAATCATATTACGCAAATACAACTGTGCAAAAGGAAAAATGGTACCATGGATAATTTATTATTTTTATTAATTTTTCTGTCAAAAAACATAAAAACAATTATACATCAATTAATAATATAATATATTAATCAACTAACAAATGTAGCTACAGCACAATAAACTTGAAAAATACAGAGAAATGTTTAATTTTCGGTAAGGTAAAAAGGTTTATTTTACAATGCTCCCTATGGCACAATTATAAGTTTGAAAACTTATAGCGCTATAAATTGGGTTGCAATACCCGCAGCGAGCAGAACACAGATGGTCCATTTAGTAGCTTTGCGCTTAACAACAAATAAACCTTAGAATTGTTTTTTAACAGTTTCTTTCTAATTCAGTTAATTAATATAAAGTAATGGTCAAATAAAAAAATAGAATATATTACACAAGTCCATCTGTCCAATGCGCTATCGTTTTGTTGTCTATTAACATGATTTGTCACACTTTTTTACCCAAAATATTTTTTACTATAAAGATACTAATAATAGTCATAATATTTATCAAGACTTGCTTTGAATGTTTCTAGAAACACAACCGTTTTTTGTTTTGTTTTTCTTAGTATATACATTGTTTGTAGAATAACGCACAAAAACGGGTAATTCCCTTACGTTTTCTCTAAGCACGACCTAATTAATTAATAATCGACAGGAAAGAAAAATTCTTGGATTTCGAGTGCTTGCGAACATGACCTACATCAACCAGCAGAGGGCACGACATGATTTGTGGAAAATTGTCACGTATATAAAATTGTAAGAGTCAAAGGGTGATTTGAAAGTGAAACGGGGTTTTACTTTTTATTAGTGAGTATCTATTTTTCAAAAGTTGTGTAGTGTAAGATTACAAACATAATTTTCTTTACTAAACAGAAATTCGTAGGTAAATCGTTTTTGTGACTGCTAGCGAATGATAATGATTGTTCACTCCGCCGGCTTTAGATTAGACTTGCGAGTTAGGTTGTTACTGTTTACACCTACCCGGCGTTGTTGTAACTTATAGTTTAAATATAAGTCGGTCATAATGAAGTTTTGAATAGTTAAATACTGAATTATCGTATCTTATGAATAAGAACATGTAAAATTTATAGGCTTATAAGACTTAGTCAAATGATTTTGAATTTTTTTGTAAAGTAACTGGTAGTATGTTATAACCAATCACTTATGAGCTATAGCATAGTATCGGGTATAGTGAAAGACATTAGGGCATTAAACTTTAAAAATTAAAGTAGTCTAGGAGATGTTTTTGTTCATATTTAAAGTTTATGTTATCGGCGATGAAATCATTATGATTTTAAGCAATTACAAATTTGTGCAAATTGTTCAGAAGTTGGAGGTTTAAGTTTGATTAGTCTCAACTGGTAATAATTTATTAAAATTATAAAGGAAAGACAACTAACCAAGCTTAAAGACACCCAAATATTGCTAACAAATCAGTGTAAATAGCAAAGTACTTTAATACACCAGCAAAGTATTGCTATAATGCTGGTAAAACAGTAGGCTATTTTCATTTTGTTTCCGACAACTGTTTACAATTAGTAGATAGTGGGGGATACACATTGCTTAAGTATTTATTTAGTTTGTATAATATAGATCTATAGTGTTTGCACAAACATGTAACTCCAATGAATAAATAGGAAGTATTGAACTAGAACATTGACAATCAAAGACGCATTCAGAGAATTCTCTTTGTATTGGACTTGGCAAGATTGCCTTTGAAACATGTTTTGGCACATTTTTTTTTTTTCTTCTTCTTCTTCAGGTTGAATAGTTTTGATAGTTGAAAGTTTTAAACTGAGATGTTAAAAGAGTTTTTATTGTGCCATGAACGTTGTCAAATTGCATCACCAAAAGAATATTGTATATTGATTTACCATTGTTAAAACTTCAGATCCAAAGTTTCTTGTAGAGGATACCAGTGACTACAATAGAAAGACAGGTTACTTCCTGTCCATACAAAGGCTCTCATCTTTAACTGGAAATAAGTCTACTGGATGATAGTATAATTTAAACTGTAAAATATTAGTCAGTTTCTAGTCATTCACATCTAAAAGGTTGGTCTTAAGTTGCTGTGTTGAAAAATAGTATGCATTCTTGATATAACAAATTCCTAGGAAGGCATTTGAAGGATTTACCACAGTAGGTGCTGTTTTTCTGTGTAATTGATAGAGTTGTGTAAACTTGTTTCTTGTTGATCCCGAGGAGATGTTAATTTTTATGGAAAATTACACAGTCTTACTGTATATTGGTACAAACCATGAACCAATGGTAAATGGTCTGTTTTCCTAAACCAACAAGATTTCAGTTACAAACCAAAAGAAATACAAGATCAAAAAACCTAACTGCAAGTTATCAACAAATTAACAAGATCTAACAGGTTTTAATGGAAGAGGTGAGACTTCTCAAATTGGCAGAATATAAAGAATTCCAACTTGTTGCACAGTTGATGTACCAGTATACGCTTATCAACAGAAACTGTTCCCAAAAGCTCTGCTGAGAGGCAGATCGAGATACTTGATCACATTTGATCAATAAAGTACAGTTTGAGAAAAGATTGATATTTGGACATATCCATCTTGAAGTGAAATCTATAATTTTATTTTGTGGGTGTATAGTTACTTTTATTGAAATGGGTTTATTACATGACTTTACTGATTCACATAGCCTGTCTAAATTTTTATCTATATTTAAATTGTTATAGTGTTTGAATTATGACACCTATACGTTATTTTGTGTAAGATTTAACAATTTGTATGAAGACTTGGTATAATCAATCTGTTTTTTTTATTTTCCTAAACTATAAATTGAAAGTGATAAACTGTACAAAATCTTTACTTTTTTCAATTCTTGATAATTTAAAGGATTGGTTAGAATATTTGCAATCATTTTTTAACTGAAGACAAAAAAAGTGCTTCCTACTCTTGAAAAATGTCAATAAAATTGAAGTTGTTGCAAACTTGAAGTAGAAATGCAGGAGAGTGTACATTATTAGTACTCAAATTTCTCTTTCAGAAAGTGGATGAAAATCTGGACTCTAGCAAATAAAAGATACTGTCCAATGTTTTTCCTTTGATGGACTTGCTAAGGGAGCTGGTCGACAGTTTTTACTAGCATGAATCACATGTAACAGAATGTCTAAAGAAAAGCCTACAGGTTTTTTCAGCTCTGTTTTTGCCAGCAACTATGGGCTTCTTAGTGGGCTGTCTTCTAAAATTGAAGCAGCTCTCTCGTTAGAATCGGATGGATCAGATACTGACTCTTTACCCCAGAGTTCAGAAACTTCATGCACTGGTTCTCCAGCTTTGTCAGTTGATAATCATGATGTTGGTGCCACTGCTAGGCAGTTTACGCAGGAAACTAAAAAATATTCTAAGAAAGTTAGAGCAATTGGTCGAAAGGACAGATCTGTGTATGGACAGCCAATATGCCATCTACCATTATCGCCACAGCTTCCCAAAACTCACAGTATATGTAGTAGAGATCCTTCTAATGAGTCTTTGGATACTATTGATAGTGGACATGGTAATGGCCAAAGCAGCCCATCTGGATCTAATGAGCAGCCTAGAAAGTTTGACCCTTTTTATGTTTTTCGACATTCAAACTCTGCAGGTATAGGGAGTGAGTCCGACACTTTTGGAAATAGCCCTTGCACAAGTGTTGATTCATCAGACACAGAGTCCATTCCAGAAGGAAGGAGTCTTGGGATCGGTATATCTGGGTCAGATGGCTCCCTACATTCTTGGACATCCAGCATCAGTTGTGATAGTCGGGCTGATGACATCAATAATGAGGCTATGAAATTCATGAAGAGTTATGTGCAAAATATTTTCTTTTCCAGGTGAGTACAGATGTATGTGTGAAATCTACAGACTACCAACCCTGTATATATGGCTAGGTGTGAGATAATTAAAAGTTAATATTTTGACTAAAACAACTATTAGAAAAATGTGGATGGTGCAATATTGTAATGGATTATTTACATCATACCTGTAAGAAATTTTAACTTTTATGACTTGGTTAACCTGCATTTGCATCCTAGTCATAGCAACTAATTCTTTGAGCTATTTTCTTTCATTGTGTAAGAAGTTAGGAAATCTATAAAAGGGCTTTTGAATAATTGCATGGATTTTTTTTTTAAACAAAACCCTGCCATGAGTAGAAATGGCTGAGCTTTAGAATATTCTCTTATGTTTATACAAGAGAAAATATTAACGGTATTCCTGACCCCTAAGCATTCTATTGGATATATTGGAATGGATCCAAAATAATGTAAATATCAACATCTTAGTGGTAAATTGTATGAATGAGAGTTTAAAAATATATAAGGCACCAGAGGTAGAAAAGTATTTCCTCAGGGTTTTAAAGGAGGTCAAAAATCAGATATACAAGCTTCTCTCTTTCAACCTTAGTAGGTCACTAAACAGTAGGCAGGTACCTGAATATTGGAAATTTATTGGTGTTACTCCTAAAGGGTGGGTGTCGTGGGAGTTGCCTTTAAAACTATAGGCAAATTATTTTTGTAGTGGAAATGATTTTAGAAAATCAGATAAAAGGAATTAGTGGAATGTATTGTAACTGAAAGCCCACATAGTTTCATCAAAAGAGTAATCTTACCTCAATAATCTGTTATCTTCTGTTAGGGATGTTGTTATTTAGATGATAGAAAAGGAGTCTTTATAATCTTTACATTTCTAAATTTTTGATGAAGTGTTACTCAAAAAATGCTAAGAAAACCTTATTTTAAGGGTTGGAGAAAGACTGGTTAATTAGATTGGAGGGTGGTTGAATGGAAGAAAGCAAGATTTTTTTATGCAGCCCAGTCAAACTGGATTCTTGTTACTAATGGAGTGTTTCAGGGGTCAGTGCTTGGGCATTTGCTGCTTCTTATTTACTTTACTAATACTGATAGGAGCATAATTAGTAAAGCTTGTTATTTTCATGGATGTTGTGCTAGACCTCAGGTGTGTGTAGCATGCAATGAAAGTCGCTCGTCGGTTGAATGCTTTTTGTGGTAATTTTTGTTTCTTTTAATTGAGGTTGACAAGAGTAGAAACATTTGTCAAAAACAATTTGTTAACCATTATTTTTATCTAGGATCATTCTGTGATCAGAAGTACATTAACACTTGCCAGATATATAGTAGTAAATGCAAATAAAATGTACACATTTTCACTTCTTGGTTTGCAACTTTCGATACTGATAATTGTAACTTCACAATAACAGTCTGTACAGCAGTAACATGCAGTAAGAGTGTGCAGATGATACACTGCATGACCAATTATAAAAAATAAAAAAATGTGGCAGTAACACTATAAAATGTCTTATAATTTCTTAATACCATGTATTCATTCTGCATACTTTCTTTGTGCTGTGGCGGTAATCTTATCTCATGCTATGCAATTTCTGCATGCCTAACTTGGTACTTCCAGCAGTATCCTGTTTATTGAATTGATCTTGTAGCCACTCATGAGTAATGCAACTCTTGTTATGCTGTATTAAAAAAGCATGACAACTAGTGCATGTGCTAAAGTTCAAGGTGAACACCATTGATGTTGCTTGCTTCACATTTCACTTGATTTTATGATTTATGTGAGAAATACAATGTTGCAATCACGTCTGTCAGGACTAGCTGTTATGTCAATTGAAGAAAGTTAATTCACAAGCTCAAAGTCAGGAAAGCTTTTATGACTTATAGAAGAATTTTTAAAGAAAGATTATAAACTGTATTTTATCTACAAGAAGTGTGTGTATGTGTTCTGTATATGTTCTTTTTTTTTTTCTTACATTTTTGAGGTATTTTGCATGAATAGGTTCTTACTGCTTAAACTACTTAAACCCACTGCATGCCACTGCTGTACAGCCTGGTTACTTGGAGATATCATTACCATCAACATGAAGCAAAAACAAAGTAATTTACAGGCATGTGCTCTGAGTAGCTGACTTTTAATACAAGTCATATATAAATAAGTGTGTGATTTGCATGTTAATATTTTATACATGTATCAAAGTTTGAACATGTTTGAAGTGTATGTTTAACTTTAGCATCTTGAATTATTTTACAGTTCTAGTATTACATTTGAAGAGAAGGCTAAGTTTGGGGAGTTGTGTCAGTATGAAGCTGGCAGACTTTGGTTTGCAAGATGTGTTAATGGTCAAGTAAGTTAAAATCTTTGGTTGAGATTGTGTCAAAATCGGTTATTTTAAACTTTTAAGAGTACTGAAAGTACACCTTGGTCATCTTTATTTTACCTTTATTCATGTGTCGCATCGTTGCTTCTTTCAATCGATGATGATATTCTTACATTTGTGAAACCATAATTTTATATATCAATCTGTTTTTCCAGTTCACAATTATGTAGCTCTGTTTCTGTGTATACATCTATTTAAATGTCTGAAATTAATCAAATCATTTGATTATTTAAAAAAAAAACATTACAAATTATATCTGTAAATGTATTAATAAATGTAATTATTTTTATTTTAATACTGTATAACATTTTTATTTTTCACTCATTAGTCAAATATTAAAATAATAGCAGACTTGTAGTTTATATCAAGTTTTTGTTTCATTTTATTTAAACATTCTGTACCAGTCTCTTATTTTTGTTTCTATAGAAAAAAAAAAGAAAAAAAAAAAGTTGTTGAGAACTTAGAAAATGATCTGGCTTTTTATTTACAGAGAGTTCATAACAAAAGGGTGACAGAAAGTACCTTTTATAGTCTTGTCCAGCATTTTGCAATAGTTCTCTTTGAATGTGGAGAATCAGATGATTTTTCTCCAGCCAAGTCTCTAATGAATATGTGTTTGACATTTTTTCATGAAGGTAAGGAATTCTAAGTAAATTTCACATGTAAAATAAAGGCATTATGCTTTAAATTGGGTTTAACCCATTCCAGATGGGTGAAAGGCTATGACATCGCATTTGTTGACTTCCATTCAAAATTTTATTGAACTACTATTTCATGAATTTTGTGTGTGTGTCTGTCTGTCTGTCACGTAGTATTTTGAATGCAGCACTGGTTCAGATTGGATGTTTGTGATGTCAAAATACTAAGTCTGTAGTATGCGGCCCATGATGTCTTTTTCTGCGGCCCGCCTAACATTTATAAAATTCACTGTACTACGGCCCACGCATGATACTTGGACAGCCCCTGCGGCCTTTTCATTATTTTTAATTTGATATAAGATTCTTTGTGACCACAGCCAAATGAGAGCTGTATCAGAGCACTGAAAAATACTAAGCTCAGGGTGGCCACTTTTTTTATCAGCACTGTATTTTAAACTTGAATGTGGCCCGGGTCGACTCCGGTAATCAAAATCTGGCCCGTGGTACAAAAAAAATCAACCAAACTCGTACAGAGATTCGTTACTGAAAATAACAGATTAAATATATAGTTTTTTCTTAAATGTTTGATAATTATCTGGACATCATAAAGATTTTGCATGTGAAATTTGAAAATTTTCTGATGCACAAAAGTATTTTTAATCTTAAAATGAAAATTACTTTGCATGTTGGATAGGCATGATACAAAAAGAAAAAAAAGGCATTAGAAAAACATTGCTTTACAAACCTTAAGACTCAATAAATAAATAAATAAATAAATAAATAAATAAATATATATGTATATGTATATATATTTTGCATATGAAAGCGTTAAATATTTACTGATAATCTGCCAAACTTCATTATCATACGTTTACTAATTTAAAAGTTATAGCATACAATTGTAACAAGCACAAAATGGTTAAGAGATTGGTCCCAGGGACCAAGCCCATGCTGAAAAGTTAGTGAGTAAATATTTATACTTTTTGAAAAGCCAGTACAAGTGTTTCATGTTTCTCATCTTTCAAGATTAGTTACAATAGTTGTAGATGTATTATTTTTGTATCATAGACATAATGCACCTTGTTTATTTCTCAGTAATCTCTACAGAGTTTGTTGTGCAATAACTTACTTTCTCAAAGTGCTTGTAATCGCATAGTTCTACAGGACTTAAAATTGAGACATTTTTATTGTACACTTTCAGTACTTGTATTCATTCCTAAGTTTTCTTTAATTAGATATGTCACTAATACTTTGTTTAATCTGCATTTTATAGAAACTAATACAAGTTAAAATATTTCTACAAATGGTCTGTATCTTCAAGTTACTGATTTTTTGCTCAGTAAATGTTGTATTTTTTCATTATTGAAAAAAAAGTAACTTGCATTTCAGAAGTTTCTAGCTTAGACTGAAATCTAGTATTACATCATGTAAAATAAAATGTAAACCAACTGATCGAATAAGAAGGAAAAAAGAAAAGGCCTTGTTGTTTTGGACCCTTGGAGACTACATGAATACGTTTGAAATATGATTGTAATTTTATCTATATTAACGTGTAGTTTTAAGTAAATTGCATGTATTGGTTAACATTTTTTCCACTTTTGCATCTTCCAGTGTCACAGGGAAATAGTCCACCTACCAAAGAATATCTGTACAAATATCTGAAGGAACAACCTATATGGCATTCACTTCATTTTTGGAATGCTGCTTTTTTTGATGCTGTACAGAAAGAAAGAAGTTTGAGACCTATGCCTACTAGGTATTTAACAAATGTTACAGTAATATAGTATTTTAACTTTGTAATAATTTTTCTTTTATTGAGAAGCACTTACAACAGAAATTGTTGCATTTTGTATTAACTACATGTCTCTGACTAACTGGCATGAAGTTTAGGTTTTGTTTGCTTCCCAGAAACTGGGTTTGGTTCCCTAAAGTGCACAGAGAACCTATTATGTGGCTTTATGCTGGAACACAAACTAAAATTTAAATGTTAATTTTATTAGCTAAAATAAGGCCAAAACAAGCTATATGCCAAATTTTATTTTAGTTTCTTTGCTGACCTGTAGTTTACCAAACTACTCGGTGTTTGCTGTCAGGTTATATTAATACAGGTAGATCTTTCATGTTTTTTCTTTTTAAAGTTCTTTAGAAAGTTTTATTATGTCATTAGTTCTGAAACAGTGTAATATATTTCCCCTTAGGCTATAAGGTGATGTGTATCTTTTATAGTTATAACATTACCTTCTATATAATGAAAATATAAATTTTTATTAATTTTTTGTTTTAGAAAAGAGATGAACCATCTTAGTCTTGAAGACATCAGAGATGAGACAAGTTTCCAAGAGAATATCACGTTTGGTCAACTAGGGTAATAAAAAACAACTTTGTTATAACTAAAAAATTACCACAAGCATTTCAATATTCTGCTAAGTACAATATAAGTACAGTTTTTTTTTACAACACTTTCATTACTCCAGTACTATTTTTTTCAACTAAAAAAAAACTTGCAAACTCTAAAGTTTATTAATACTATAGTTTTCAAATACTATTAATTTTAGTATAAATGGAAGTATAATTGATACATAATTGGATTTTTTAATGCTGTTGTTCCATGAAATGTTCCCCCAAAACAAGATTTATAAAAAGAACAAAAAAAGAAACCTGCATTATTATTGTAAAAGTGAGTAAGCCTTTAAATAATAAGTGAGCCAAAAGGAGGCAAATGTAAGATTAAAATTTGGGGAAAAAACTATTGAAGATAGACTATAAAAACTTTCCTCGTTTGTATGATACATCACTCTTGTTAGTAGTACATAACATATGAAGAACACTCGTGATTAATAACCTTAGTTTATCAATTTCAGAGATGTTTTCCTCTGGTGTTAATTATCTGAAAGTTTCAGCTGTAATTCTTATTTTTTGGAAAATGTAACACGTGTTGTTCCTCAGTTTGGGGCAGTTGGTGCTATCTTTTCAACTGTTACAGCTGACGTGTTTTTGTTTCCTACCTTGCAGAATCGAATACAAATCATTTTGTTATGTGAAAAGATAAATACTTTGATATATAACTTATATAAATATGTAACTTGTAATTACCGAACTAAGTTGTCAATTATGACTCAAACCAAACTATACCTAGTTAAAATATAGTAAGTAATAGAAAAAAAAATACTTAATTTTGTTATGAGCCAATAATTGATAACCCATTTTGCTGAATTCAACTACAATAGAAGGAATAAGGTTTTTCTTGGGTATTATTACCATTAAATAAGGATAAGTTTATATTCAAAGTACAACTGAAAAATATAATTTGGCAAATTAATTTATATTCATAACCTATGAAATCCTAGATTTCTTGTTAAAGTTCCAGTACAATAACCTTTTTATGGAGCTTGAAATAGTCCTTGGTGAGCTTGTCAAACAGATATGGAACTAAGATGTGTAAAAAGGAGATGAACTTCACATCTGTTTGGTTCGCTGTTTCTGACAAGCTCCACATATAACTCTCTACTTTTATTTCTCATGTACACGTTTTTAAAGATTTGAACTGACAAACAAATGTATTGCTTTTTCAAACTATTTTTTCCTTTGTTTTTGCATATTTCAGAACGTTCACTCACAACATGCATGCCTTTGGTTTAAGTAAAGCTTTGTGTCTGGAATTTCTCAGGAAACAAAGTACCATTGCCAATCTTCCATCAGGTACAGTTTTTGTATAATAGAAATATAATCATGGTACTGTCTATATATAGTTAAAATGTACTTGAGAACTGATTATGTTATACGGGACTTGTTGACATGGTATTGCTTGTACACCTAATGCTATCCAGTGGAGATTTTGTATTCAAAGAGCACATTTCTTAAATGGCAAAGTTATAAAACTTAAACAGAATATATTTGATAAAAACATATAAATATTGTCTTAACAGGAGAATGGGATTTTTTTTACCTATTATATTGAACTTATCAAAACTGACTTTAATCAGCAGATTTTTCCCTAACAAAATAAATTGATGGAATTTGGTGTTTTTGATACTTTTTAATTTCAATATTTTTTCAAGAAAGAAAAAATAAATAAAAGTCTACTTTCAGAACAAGTCCAGCTGCTTCAAGAAAATATAGAACGGATTTACCAAGACAGAGGAAGGTGACACACAGTTCATCCCAGAGTATCAAAACCAGTCCAGTTGTTTGTGAATAACCAAAACTTGCCCTTTAAAAAATATCTAAAATAAAAACAAGTCTATTAAATATATCAATAAATTTCATGTTGAAACCATAGAGTAATACATGTATTTATTTATGTATTTTATCATGTATTTTTATTTTTTGAGTATATAATAGGATGTAAGCATTGAATTGTATCACTGTTTATATTATTTGATTTGGGTAGTTGTTTTAGTATTTAGAGGTGTATTCTATTTGCAGTACATTAACAATTATGTAATTGTTTTTTTTGTTTGTCATTATTTAAAATTGAAACTGATAAAATGTGAGTTAAATGCAGAACTTTGTATAGCACTACTGTCACATATTTATAATAGCCACTGTTGTTGGGTATTGGACAGAAATCTTCCCAATACTAGTGACCTATATAACGTTAGGTTTATTGTTGTATTTTAGACGGAACTTTCTTTGGTACAATACTAGTGACATGTGTTTCCTTATTCTTCTTGGACTCTAGACACAAACCTTTAAGTACAATACTAGTGATGTATATTACACTGTATGCTGTTGTTGTTGTTGTTGAACTGTACACAGAAAGCTTTCTCAAGTGCAATACTAGTGATATATTACATTAGATTTGCTGTCATTGTTTGACTTTAGAGAGAACTTCCATCTTGACTACAATGCTACTGACATGTGCCATGTTTGGTCCACGTAGTGCTTGTTTTCAAGTACCGAGTGTAGAATTTCTCAATGAAATAAGATTTTGTCCGTACATATCTATGGAAATGTAATGTATTCTTAAAACACTAAAAGTTGATAATTAACCGAAGGAGTCGGTTTCTTAAAACTTTTCCAGAAAAAAAAATATTGCAAGCTTTGGATTATACATTTAATCCTCGTAGTTTGCTCTTAGTGAACACTTGCCATCCTTGTTCAGAAGCAATACCTGTTAGTTATAGTTCAAAAAGTATTCCATTACTTTGTCATTATATGTACTAACCATATTAAACTGTTTATCCTATAGAGAACTTGTGTCACAAGTATAGCTTGTATCAAGATGTTAATAGGTTAACTCTGTTTACCAGTTGTTTAATAATTCACTTTCATATAAGTAATACTCAAATTATTTTTATTTCTTTGGTTAAGCTGGTTAAAATGCTAAACAAATTTTTAGGAATGATTATTGTTTGAGTCATTGAAAGCACCTGGTATTTCATAAATATTTTGGTGGAACATTAGTTATTTAATATTGCTCATTTAAACCTTGTTGTGTAATTGGTTTTAGGATTAACAAATTTTTTATTTATGTATGTGTTGTTGTGCAACTGGTTCTACAGATTTAATTGTTTAATATTTTCATGTTTTATGTTTGACATTTGGTACATAGATAATAAATAGAAAGTATTTTCCTATACATAGTTTTAGGTAAACATGAGTGTAGCAGTGTGATCTCATATTTTGTATAGTATATTTAAAAGAAACCTGTATTTTATTATCTTGAAATACCTGAAACTTGTTTGTTCAAGTACTTTATAGTCATACCTTCAAGAAGTTGACATGAGATATTTCACCTTTACATTTGCCAAATAAAGCCACTTGTTTATTTCAAGAATATATATAAACAATTGATAAATTACCTTGTTTTAAAAGAAAAAAAAATGTATATACATAATTTTTTTAAAGATTTGTGATGCCATAACATGGTTATTCTTGAGTGCTATTTATATAAAAGTAAAGTCTATATCAACTGAAATACTGATTTACAATGGCTTTTTTAACCCATTGACTGTGGCTGCTCTAAGCACATGTAATTTTTGCAAGCCATAAACTATATATGTCATACTTGCATTCAAATGCTGGAGGCAGACTGTGTAATATACAGTGAATCAGTAGTTACTGGGTTAGTTTCAAATCATAGTTAATAAAGACGTTTTTTCCAAATATATTTGGATGTTACATCATTTAAATTTATTGGCTGAGAATTTGAAATGGATGATATCTGTTTTATGATTATTAGTTATGTTACTGACATGGTGCAAGAATAATAACCTGTCCTGAAGACGATACAAAATTATATTTAAATTTGTCATAAACTAACACTGACCACCAAAATATGTGACTAATTATAAATTCATAACTATGTTAATTTATTGCTTACAGTTGAAAAATTTTGTTTATTAAAGGAAGAAAATTGAACTTCAGCAGTGAGAAATGCATCCATTTTTATCAACTGTTAATTTCAGAAAAAACTAGATTTTCTCTCAATTTTTTTTATTATGAAAAATTTGGACTAATTTTAAATTTAAACTGTCCTCATTACTATCTGCTTGAATGTATAAGAGTTTCTAGAAGAGAAAGTTAAAATCAATAGCTTAACTACTGGAGCCATCTACAAATTATTTTGTATGACAGCTTAATATATTATTGTTTTAGAAATAATGTTAACTTTAAATTTTTAAAATGTTAAAAATGTATGACAAATTGGATGCTCATGTACTTTTTTTTTTCATTTCTTTTTGCAAAGTTTGAAAAACTTAATATGCTGTTGTGTTCATAACTTATTGTAATCAGTAGTATAAAGGTTTAGCCAGTAATTTAGTATTCATTGGAAATTGTGTATATTTGCTTTGAGTTTGTAATAATGTGAATAATAGTTGTAAGTAAAAAGAGTTGATATATTAAAAGGTAGAAGTCTGTAATAAACATTTCAAACTACATCTGTCCGTTTCTGCAACCTTCTATTAACAATCAATTTGTATGATGATTAAGTGTATGGACAGGCAAGTCCAAGCTATTTCTTCTTAAATATACATCTTTATGGCCATAATAATTACCATGGGGATACTACTGTGTGCTATACTTGTTTATTAATATAATCCTTGGAAATCATGGTCCATGTATATTTATGTTTTAATCATTAGCAAAATGTAAAAGGCATTCGTTGAAAATGGGTACTTTGAAGAATTTTAATGTTTTTTTTTGTACACTTTATTGGTTGATATTTAATTTTGTGTATTTATGTTTCATTTTATGGGAATTTAATCTATTTCTGTACATCCATATGTCTCAAATACAGTGCTTTTTTATATAGGAGATATCTTTCTTTTTCGAAGCCACTGATTTGATTTACAGACTGGTTGGATTTTAGTTTGATTTAAAAGCGTTTCAATTAAATCAGTTTTGTGTACCAAAGGAATCTTTCTTCGTTTGGAAAAATTAATGTAGGAGATATTGTATTACCACTTTCAAGTGTTTTATACTGTTTGGCAGGGCATTTCTCTAGAATTTCAATTTTTCCACTGTATTACTAGTACAAAGAATTTAAAAGAACAGCAGGATGTCAATTAGAAAAACCTCATTTTTAGATTAACTGTATTTGTGTTAGAAGAATCACTTGAAGAAGCATATATCAACACTGTTAAGTAAAAGATTTGGTATCTGTGGCTTATAGATTATATATTTATAATATGTTAGGTTAGAGTTCATGAACATTAAGAAATATATTAGATGGTTAGTTATTTTCAAAATTCTGTTGATTGTGAAACTAGTTCATAAGCTCAGGTAATAATCATGTGTTTAAATAAATGTGTGGATGTTTTCTAAATGTTGTAAGTGATATTCCAGTTGAAATATGTAAAAGTGAGAATTTGTAGCATTTAAAGTTGTTCAATAAATAGAATATTTACACGGAAGGATGTTGGGCAGGTTTCTTTAGACTATTTAATTAAAATAATTCCAATCCACATAACTATGAAAGATCAGTTTTATTTCTTCCTAAACGTTTCTACAAGCTACTTTGACTTGTGCACTGTAACTTGTAGATAGATAGATATATAAAATAAAAACAAAAAAAATCATTTTAACTGTAATACCAGTCATGTAAAAATAAATTTATTTGTATAGTTTTCATGGATGTTCAACGAAGTAACTGAATATACGCGATAATTAACATGAATCCATACAGTTATTGAAGCTGTCTTTTCTGAATGACTGAAAATCTAATTCAATACTCGTTCACTATTAACCATTCGCTTTAAAGCAAAACATACTGATTCAATGATTCACCGTTTCTCGTATTTATACTATATTCTTGTCTCTCGATACTTCCCGAATTTACGAGATTTTCGTGACGTCCAATTTAGAACTTTCTAGTCTTGCTTCCACAAACTTACTTCATCTTAACGTCGTACGACCTCTAGCTAACGTCCCATTTAAAATAGCTTTGGAACCGATCACTTATCTGTATAGTCTAAGCACGTAATAGCTATTTTCTCGTGTGCCTGATGTTGAAGTTTAACGCACTCGGCATTGCTATTAACAAACTTGTATAATTTTGCTCTTCAATTTTGAAAGATTTTGCACTACCTTAATTTTCTTTATTAATGTACTTACTGTCTCTCTGACTATTTCTTCTTCTTTCAGTGCGTTCCTGTTCTTCATTTTCAACTTTTCATTTCTGAACAGTGGTACACAATAGGCTGTTAGTTACCTTTCACGTTGTTTTTCAATCTTACCACCTCTTGTTTCTACCTCTGTTCAAGAAGCCGAAATGTCATCTGTAATGAGACTAGTTAATGTCCTCTACTATAATTGTTTACAAAATTCGAGACATCATACAATGCCATTATCTCGAAACTCCTCACCTTCTACCATCCTTATGGCTGTTGGAGGTTCTTTGTTTGTGGAAGATTCTACTGTCTATTTTCTCTATTTTTGCATTTCGCCTTCCTTCCTAGTTCCTCTATCTCATGTGCATTTTCCTTTCTTGAATCAGACGTCGACGTTTTTATCTAGTTCTTTCCACTGCCTGGTATTACTCTGCCCTCATCATTCGCTGTTGAGGAACACGTCATCACACTCTCTCTTTGCTGTTTTTCTCGGGTTGGTACTATGATTTCTCTTTCTACTATTTCTTGTGTTTCTTCATAATGTTATGTCTCCGTTTGTTAATTAACGTTCCGTAACTTCGTTCCGACGAAACTTTAACGACACAAGTCTTTACTTAATAAAACTGGTTTATTCTTTCCGAATAT